CAACTCCTAACATTCTATGATTCTATGAAAAGCCCCTAACAAAGTTCACATTATTTCCAGGAGGCAAAAATAGTGGTAAATGCTCAAAAATCTTTCCAAGGCATAAAGTGAACGGAGATCTGCATTTGCTGCAAAAAATTCTTAACTGATCTGTGATGTCTCTGCTATTCTGGGTCCAAAAATCCACTAGCAGCTGGTAGTAAGAAATATGGTTATTTTAGGTAACAGTCTGTGTGTGAATACGAAACAACTTTTTCTTTTTTTTAAAAATAATACATTTCAGATTCATAATTTATGTAACTGCTACTGTGTTAATTTGCTATGAAAACTCATTTGGAGATGAGTCTTTTGGGCAGCTTATCATGTGGATACTCCATATACTCTGCCTAAATGCTGACCACTGCGGCAGGCTGAAAGGCACGGACTCAGCTCTTGAGAGAAGCTAAGACAAGAAGCAAGTATTTATGGGTTACAAACAGGAGACCAGACTATGCAGCCAGGATTGTTATTAGCTCATGTACTCCTTCAGTCACTCTCTTATCACACAGGGAGAACAGACTTTCCCAGGTCTGTTTTGATCATACTCTCCCATTCACTCCCATGCACATCTTGTGTACAAGAAGCCTCTTATGTGTCCATTCTCACGAGCAAACTCCCAATATGAGCTATACTTTGCTAGTCACGGTCTCTTTTGATTATTAGCAAGCAAGAGTTATGTACTTGTTTAGAAAAGAGCTCAAGGATGAAAGTCTTAATTCTGCAACGCACTGCTGCCAGCACAGCTAGCTGTAAAATGCAGGGTATCCACAGACCTCTACCTAGTATCTTGTCTATGCAGAATGTTACATGATTTTTCCTTTCATCTCTCCACATGGAACCTTTCAGAACAGAACTGCGCTACAGCATTTAAAATCACAGCTCTACTGGCTGAGAGGGAAAGAAATTTATAGTCATCCTGACATAACTCCTGCTGACAAAACAAGTGCTTTAATTGGCAAAGTTCATGCTGTTCAGCATGAGGGTGCATTTTCACCAGCACAAACGTCCCTGTCAGCATGTGGCCCAAATCCACCAGAGTCCTCTGCTGACACAGGCATGCCCCACAGCTCTCAACTGCAGGGATACCTCTGGCACTTTGTGCACTCCAGTAAGGGTGTCTACACGACTGATTAGGCCACTAACAAATATTTCAGCTAAAACATCTTCAACCACCTCTTCAGGTTCACACTCTTCAGTTTTAACCTTTGTGTAAAGCTCCCATGTGTCATTTCCAGTCAAAAGTAGCCCCCTCAGAAATCCAAAGTCACATGGTGCCATTTGAGTAAATATGTCTTAACTCCATCTGCGTGGGCTAAAGTAAATCCACCTGTAGTGTCTCATCACCCTCAAAACTAGGTCTTCTCACAGTGATTTAATCTGGGGTGTTTTGCTTGGTTTCTCTGCCTTTTTTACGATACAAATCCCACCCACTTCCATCCTGTTCTGTCTAATAGTCTTGGATAACATGAAAGGATACTATAGGAAATACGAAAAGTGTAATTTCCTGCTGGGAGGCCATCTGCAAACTGCCTTATCCGTTGGACACGACGGTAAAGATTTCTGAATGTAGCAAAGGCTGACACTCGCATCCAGACAATCAAGTCATCGTTTATATAGCCATTGTTCTTTTCATCTTCCTCATCTAACATATATACTGGTTTCTGCCAGTAAGGAGGTCTTGCTGTACCTGTTGAAAAAAGAAAGAAACCAGGAAAGATATAGTGTCAGAGAAAACAGTGGTGGTGACTAACTTCTGGGCCTACTCACAACCAATACAGAATATGAGATATGAAAGACACAAGATTCTGTTCAGTACCAAAAAATCAGATATGCTAGACAACACTTTTTCAGCCAAGCACCTCCACATTAGAAACTACACATTAATGCTACACATTAGAAACTTCAAGCACAGGAAAAACAAAGTAACTTGCACAAATGAAAATACTATTTATTTTGGATTCCTGACATTTCAGCAAGCAACATGCTCTCTATAACAAGGAGCTTGCCTTCATTTTAGACATTAATTTATTCCTGTACAACCAGAAAGGCACCTTTTTGCAGTCTTAGGACACAGCCTATGATACTTAGAATCTGTGATATGAAAACTACTTAAATAACTGACTCTTGCTTATTGCATCCAGCACAGCATCGCCCTGATCCAGAATAGGGAGCATTTAGTCCCACTTCAATGTGGAATAACCATAACAAGGAAACAGCCCTAGGACTCTGCTGTTTGAAAGAACCAGTGATGATGGCAGCTTCAGTTGTCTCACAACTGCCTAAGAACCTGCAAAGGCACAAAGGAAGATGTAACATACAATTCTCCTTCACAGATGTTTTGAACAGGAAAAATAAAGTGACTGCATCCTTGCTTTCTCTGGGCAGATGAAGCATTACAAGAAATCATACACAAAGGGTGTTGATGTGGACTAACTTCAGTCTTTCAAAACTACTTTCTCACAGTTTCTGTGGTCACTGACCATAAAAAAAGAAGTGACACTCTGGTGTTCTAAATGTCTTCTGCTCTCAGTCACCCTCTAAAGCTGCTTCTCCAACCTGCTTTGAGAGTTACTTCTCCCAAAGGCAATTTATCTCAGAATGGGAGACCCTCACACACCGGATCAGAGGTAGGGAAGCCATCGAAAAATAAGGAATAGCAGGGGAACCACTCTTACCTGCAAATGCAGAAGAGAGATTGTTTGACTTCGGATTGCGAAATTTCACATTTTTATCTGTCCACCAACTGTTTCCAGTCTTCAGCAGCGGTACTTGAATAGCAGATGTTTTAAGATTGTAAAAAAGATCAATAGTGTCTGCAGGGAATACAAGAAGCAACACACAGGAGTAAATGACAGTCACTCTACCAGCATGACCAAAAAAACTAGTCACACTGAATCATCTTTCAAGTGAATAGAAAACAAAAAAAAAAATCTTGGGAGAGTTTTCATGATATCTGTGTGCAGAGCACTGTACATTTCACAAGAAGATTTAAGACTCCAGTGCTTTAGAACTTCTGAAGTTTTAAAGACTGAACATATTCCTACCAATAATCTTACTGAATCCCTGTGTAGAAATAAGTGCAAGTGTTTCATGTCCATCAACTTCTCTGTGACTAACTTCTTTGCAAACCACTTTTGGAGCTCTCTAGCTAGTTACAGAAGTTACTGTCCTCATTACCTTTCCCTAGCATTTCTCTGACAGTTGCCCCAAACAGATCACTTTGCTATATATAACGTGTTTTCAGGGGAGAGGTGAAGGCACAATCTTTGTAGCAAGTGTGGGTAGAGCCCTTCCCATATCTTCATTCGCGAAGCTTAGTCATGAGGATCACCAACTTCGACATGAACACTTACTGCAATTGAAAAACATTTCGGTCCCTTCCAACCCTGACAGTTCTACGATTCTATGAAATTTGTGCTTAACTGTGCCATACTGTTTCAGTGGGCAAAATCCACTTGTTTTTATATATTATATTTTCCTATTTGGATTAGTTAAACATAAGGCAAAAACATTATAGATTTCATAGAATCATAGAACGGCTTCAGTTGGAAGGGACCTTAAAGATCATCTGGTTCCAACCACACACCATCAGCAGAGACACCTCCCACTAGACCAGGTTGCTCAGAGCCTCATCCAGCCTGGCCTTGAACACTTCCAGGGATGAGGCATCTACAACTTCTCTGGGCAACCTGTGCCAGTGTCTCACCACTCTCACAGTTAAGAATTTCTTCCCAATGTCTAATCTAAATCTACCCTGCACTAGTTTAAAACCATTGCCCCTTGTCCTGTCACCACATGCCCACATGTTTCATAACATCTATGTAAACATGTAGGCAGCCAATGAGATGACAGGCAGGTATAGTTAGAAGACACAGATGGGGAAGAGCTGCTTTTTAGGAAACACAAAACCCACAACTCAGCTAAATAACCATCAATGAAAACATACTTTCATTAAATTTCTGCTATAAAACCTGGGTTCACACAGCTCCTTAAGGCACAGACATACTCTTCGGAGTAAGTGATCATTCTGTGCCCCAATACCTCACCAGCTGATTGTCTCGAGTTTATTAACAGGAGTTGCAATTCTCTGAGCTCTGCCTGCTTAACTACTGCTCCCTTACCTGCTAGCTTGGCTTAAAAACCCTTCTCATGGCAGGAACCTGGCCACCTTCCTCATTTAACAAAACAAGATTAGAGAGCGATTAGACAACCAGCTGAACTGTCAGAAGTGAATGGGAAGCACCCTCTTTCACAGCAGAGAGACAGAAGTAAGCTACCAGAGGAAAGATTCAGACATCACCTCGTTCCCCTTATCACCAGCAGCTGTAACCTTTCATCATGCTGTGCACTAAGGGCAGACTAAAGGCAGATACTGGAAGGTCTGCCCCTCAGTATTTTAAAACCTTACTCTCCCTAGTTCTCTGAAGGAACATTCTGTCCCTGCAGCCAGGGCTCCAGAACAGTGCAGGCTGCACTCAAGTAGCTCTGCTGCACTAGGTCTCAGCCCAGTTCAGTAAATCAAATTTCCAGGGGAGCAGGTAGGTGCACAGGCAGATGAAAATCAAACTTCAGTTACTGAACGCAGCTGCCCTTCTCAAATCCTCAGGTGTGGGTGGCTGACCTGCTTGAAAACAGCTGCTGCATTGCCAAAACCTGCTGGGTGGAGGAAGTTAAAAAAAAGGGGAAGGAGGGGAGAAAAAAAGGATGAGGTAGGAGAGAAAAGTCCGTAAAGTTTTTGGTCTCACTATCTCCAAATGAAATCTGCCACTGTTCGTGGCTAGGAGCCCTGTAGGTTTCAGCCTAAACATCTCACAGGCAGATTATATCCACTAAGTTACCCACAAACAAGATCAAACCCGGGATCAAATTGAGTAAGACCGTGTATGCTTCCAGCACCTGAAGAACCAATGCAACCACATAGATCTAAAGGTCCAAAACAATGTGAAGAACATGTCACCTCCTTTTAAGCACAGCACTGTGGGAAGGCAAAATCTGGGCAATCCCAACACTGTACAAGAATTTTTTTAGCAAGGAAGTACACTAAATCTGTTCTATCGTTGTTCCTTATTTTACCAGGGACTCAATTCCTCAGTCTTGTTGTTTAGTCACATTGAACAGGGCCTTTGTTAATGAAAAAATCTTCCTCAATTTCAAGATGAGGGGCAAGTTACTAAACAGTATGAAGCAGAGCCCCATATTCACCACAGTAGCACTGTCAAACAAAAGTTTTTGTAGGAGAAAGACAGAGATCTTGCTGTATCAGGACTCAGATGGACTGAGGTAGCAGAATAGTTCCAAATGGAAACAGTAAGGCGATCTGGAAGGTATCTACTTACCATTGAATATGCTGTTGGCAATAGCGCCGCATGGAGCCATGGGAGTCCCATTTTGGTAGGTAGTGAAGGGCGTGCAGTAGCTCTTCTGAATCTGCATTCAAGGTCACGGAACAATCAGGCATAGAACCTGGGGTTTGTTTGGTTTGGTTTGCTGGTGTTCATGTTCTCCCCCCCATTCCTTCTTCTGAAAAGCCACTGAATACTTAAGTCTACGGTACCCTTTTAGTCACATTAGCGATAGATCCAAATGAGTGGGTTTGTAGCTGAGGAACAACTTCCATAGCATGGTAAGTAAACATAAGCTCTTCAACAAATTCTGCTCCAGACTTGCAAACTCCAGACTACATAAACTTAATTTGGGATCTGCTATAATAACATAGCTAGACTTTAAAACGTTCCAGTGAAGCCTTGTCTCACCCTAGAACATCTTATTTTCCTTTCTTTTTAATTTTGACCTGGACTTCTTCAGTGGTTGAGAGCAGCAGATGCAGTTAGCCACATTATTGCAGTTCTACGTGGGGAAATCTTGATGTATGAAGATACAGCATGAAAACCAAAAGCCCATCTCAAATTTATCACATCTACCTCAATTCACAAGAAACCATAAAACGGGGGGCCAGTTAGCTCAGTCAGTTGAGCGTGGCACTGACAACGCCAAGGTCACGGGTTCAATTCCCATTCGGTCCCCATGTGTTGCCTGATCTAGTCAAGAGGTGGCATCCCTGGCAGCAGGGAGGCTGGATTAAAATGATCTCTAAGGTCCCTTCCAGCCTAGGCCGTTCTACGATTCTATGACAATGTCACTCATAGCTGGCCACCAGTGGGATTTCAAACCAATGACCGTTCTATGATTCAGGTTTAAACACGGAAACATTTTCAAATAATCTAGCCTCCTCTACAGATCTCTAAGTGGCATACTTAGAAGGCTACATGATCACCTATTTCACCATAAACCTGTTCCAGGTCTTTGCCGGTTTCCAGATGGCAAAATGAAAGAATAACTTAATTCCCTAAGCCCATAATAAAAGCATAACTGCAATAATTTTTGTCTAAAACCACCAAAAACACTAGAAGGAAAAGCTTTCTGTAAATTTATTGGAAAAAGACAATATATTTTTAATCAGCTTCCCTACAAAGTGCAGGTTTGAGAATTGCAACACTGGACTGACATCTTTTATTTATCCCCTCAATTTTTCTCTCTATTATTAGACATAATGACCCTAACAATCATAAAAGCAGAGACCATCTACTGAAAATATGCACCTTCTTATTATTTCCTAAAGCCATCTTAACACACTTGCAGTTACGCCTAGTTAGATCTCCATATGGTCAAAGATGCACCTGACGGAAATACTGACGATCTCATAATATAGAGAAGAAAACTTACATTTACATCTCGACCCAACAACTGTGCGTCACTTCTTGATATCACGTATCGACGGTGGTTTTGATAGAAGTTTTGCAGGCCATAGTACATAAAAACATCACCCTAGAATTCAAGGATAAATCCCTTCAATAAGGTCAGTTTGTGTGGACAAAGAGAAAGCATATTACTTGCTAAAAAAGAAAGGGGAAGAGAGTAATCAATTCATATTTGTGTTGGTAACTCCTCTCTAAGCAATTACTTCAGTGGACACCAGCTAGAATATAGTCTTTACCCCAAATGAAAGTTACAGTATTTGTCACAAAATTAAACATACTTTAAATCATCAAATGAAACCTAAAATAAAAATGCCTGATTATTACCTTACTCAAGATGGCACTGCTGACCATGAACCTGCAATGACTATGAATAATTCCACAAAGACAGACACTCATTTCCATAAAAGAAGATGCTCAAAAAACTTCAAAACGTACCCATTAGCTTTTAATTCCTTCAAATTTTTTGAAAAAAAAGGCTGCGTCTCACCAATTATTTGAACCTTTTGGTAAGTTTAGTCCTGTAATTAAAATGAATGATAGGCAGGCAAATGCAAGCAGGAAAGATGATTATTAAACTTAAAAAAAAATTTGGTTAAATAAACTTCTAATCTCAAACATCACTGTACTCTGAAGAATTAGAGTTTTTTAACAGCCTCTTCAATACTAAAGAATCCTAAAGTGACTTTATAATTTGAATTGCACTGTAATTTTAAGGGATCATTTAGACAGTATTAAGCATAAGATCTCTCTGGCAGAACAAGAATTAAGCCTCAGCAATGTTACCCAGTAGTTTAGGACAGGAAATGAAGGACACTCTTCCCAAATGAAACTGCAGAACGACATTTCTAGACCAGTATTATTTCAAGGACCTTGGGGATTAACAGCACAACCCTTGTAAAAAAGACTACAGGGTCTTACTTATGGCAAGTGGTCAGACTTTTAGATTTCCTTCTCATTTCAGAGCTCAGCAGTGCAGAAACAACTAACCATAGCCCAAGGGCAACTGTCTGCTACCAACTCGGAGAGATACCTTCACAATCAAACACCCTTTCCTCCATTCCCATCTTCTCCTTGAACATCTCTCAATCAAGGACAGAGGTAGCCTCATCTTGATTATTTTTAACATGTACCAAAATGAATAGCGAAGGCAAAAGTGTAAAATTTTGAGTATTTCGTATTTTTAAAAAGTGCCAAGAAAATAGTCGGGAGCTCTACAGAGCAGAATTAGTGTATTTTATCATATAGGGATATAAGTAATAGGAGGTATTAAGCAACTTGAGTTGGTTTCTCTCATCCTCTTACCAATATATCTTCCTTTAGTGTGAAATTAATGGAACAGTGGCATTCCTTATTCCAGTTAGAGGAATTTTCACGGAGTTTTGAACAATCTGAGCATTTATCTGAATAATCAATCTGTCAGGAAGTGAACAAGAAGAGACGTTGTAATGAAGGACACACACATAGGAAAAGGTTAGTGTTTTATGTCCAAGAGAAGTTCTCTTCTAAACGACTCTGGACTGCCAGAAACACTGTTAAAAACTGACTGAGGCAGAGATTCAGGACTTGGCTCCAATGAACATTGACAAATTTTATCCCTAGATTAAAGCTGCTTTAGAGCCTGTTGATGACTGTCGCAGAACTCCCACAACTGCTCCTCAGCAAAGGAGAGCTGAGTGAAGAACACTTCTGCAGCTTGGTGTGGCTGGCCAAGAAATGCTTGACAAATCCCCACATGCATTATGGACCAACCCGCTTGAACAGCCTGCATGCAGGGCTGAGCGTGGGCTCCAACCAGGAATCTATTAAGACCACCACAGGACTAACCAACCTCGCCTCCAGGATGCATTTAAACATCAGGGCTCCCCACGTTTTAAGATTGTGCCCCAGCAAACATGTATGCTCTTTTAGTACCAAACACAGTATCAAAGGGCTTACTTTATTTCCCTTCAAAACGCCAGGAAACAACGGTCTTTCAGATATTACCAGCCAGTGGCAGTAATTACCACTGATATTCCAGACATTACCACCCAGTTAACCACTCAGTGCTTGGATTTTATCGGTGACCAACTGTCCCTGAGGATTTCTGCAGGGAACGAAAATGGCTGCTGGACACATGCCCAAGGCATGAAGCCATTGCTATCACCTTCATCCACAACCAAAAATTCAAAGCCTCTTCCCTCCAAACATATTCTTCTTCATACAATACCTAAGCACGCCACGCACAAACAAACCTGGATTTCTCTGACGCTGTTTGCGGCCAGTATGAGGCAGATTCCCACTGACAGGCAGAACGCGCCCGAGAGGAAGAAGCTGGAGAGCACAGTGGCAATGTTAAGCTGGGGCTTCCAAGCTGGTAGCTTCTGTTGTTTGAATGCACTGTTATCCGGACATCTGGAAGGACGTGCCTCTCCTTCTTGCGAAGGAAAACTTGTCTTGTTTTTCATTTTCTTCTTGGTTAGACGAAGGAATAATATACTTGCGCTTGAGAGTGTTTAAGCCGAGATACTGTCCTTACTGTTGTAAGACTTCATTGTTTGTTCAAACCTGCATTATGGCCAGGAATTACTTATTAACTAGATCCTCCTCTTCCTCATTTTCTACATTTGTGCATGGATCTCCACAATCAGCTTGTACCAATCAAAAGATTGTGTACTTTGGTCAGGGTGTCTAGCTCATGCCTCCTGGAAAAGCTCGAATATATGTTTTTTTCCTGCCCTACAATGCAGTAGGATTTGTTACGTCTTACTCATTTTCAGGTATACTGCCAGCTATACTGGAATTTCTGTTGCAGTCTCAGATGCCTTATTTCTTCTGACTTCACTTCCATAGCTGCCAAGCTAACAAGCATGGCATACAATGAAAGCAGCTCTTTTCCAATTGCACCAGATGCCATTGGGGAGAACTGGAGGTGCTGAGACTGCACTGGACAGAAAACACGGCTTTGGGAGACCAAATAAATTCTCCACCCATTCCCTACTATCCACAATGACAGAAGAATCATCCAAAGATCATTTCTCTTTAATTTAAATGACAAACAGAAAGATATTTTTTGCACGCTTCAACAGTTTAAGCAAAATAAAGTCTCAATATATTATACAGATAATTTATCATGTAATAGCAAAACCCAACATTTTGGCAGCTCTGGAACACAGAGGTGAAAAATAACTTTTTGACAAACTGCTGGAATTTATACAATTTTTTCAAAGACCCTCAAGGACAAGAACTAGGTTACCATGCTCGTGAGAGAAGTGAATGTCTCCTTTGGAACAGCAGAGGGAGACAACAGAAAATTGAATCCTATAAAGATTTTCACACCAAGTTCGTTCATATTCCAAGTCTGAAAAGTGACATATACTAGAAAATCTAGCAGGTGAACGCAATGTAACTCTGATTTCAGTATCATATTGTTCCTGCAACATACTAAAACTACAACCAAAACTTCTGTTTTATTATTAAAAGAGAAGGAAACAGAAAAAGTTGCAATGTGTGTTCTTTCTGTGTTGACAGACCTCTGAAAAGTCAAAATTTATGATTCCATCACCAGTTAACCACTTGCCAACTGCAGACATGATAACAGTAAAATGCAGCTGCAAATTACTTCCTTGTGGATAAAATCATTTAAAAGAGTCCCAGCTTCACAGATCCCTCTCTGCACAGCTTTATAATACTCATCTCCAGGAGGTCAATAGTTTCTTTCTTTATCTAAAGGGAAAAAAAAAATCAAAGAAAGCATCAGAAGTTATTCATAGTGCTTTGGCATCTTACCATAGGACTAGAAATCAAAGAAGAAGTTCCCATACAAGGTCCTGAGCTCTGGAAGGTTTCCGTTTTGTAAAATATCTAGCATTTGCTCTGAAGTACAATTATGGCTTGTGAAGTCCCATCTAATATGGCTACAGAAAAGCTGCCAACGGTACATAGTTGATAAAGCATGCCACAGCAAGAGGCCCATCCTGGGCTACAAAATCCCTACAGGACTTTCCAGAGGATCCACTGGTACCAAGGAGCCCAAGGGCAGTACCACACTGCAACAGCCACAATGTTGCCTGTGGCTGAGACATCTGAATGAAAGTGAGCACGAAGGTCATGTCTACACGCGGTGCATGGAAAGTCCGTTGGTTTATAACATAGATATGGTTGTAGTTTATTGCTTTATCTAAAGATAAAAGACAAATGTATTAGAGAGTAAATATTGACTACATATTTCAGCAGAACACAAGATTCTCTATCATCACACCTAGTCCAGAGTCTCCTTACAGCTCCCTCTTCCTACTTACAAATAAGTTAGTTGCAAGTTTTCTCTCAAGATCATACGCTTCTGTGCCTCCACTTTGCACACAAATAAATGACATGAGTAAGCTTGCCCAATTTCTACTCCACACGGGATGTTACACATGAGGGTAAAAACATTTGTCTATCACAAGTCCATTTCTTACAAACTGTTTTACTTTGATGAAAGCTGAAACTTAAACTTCCTGTACTTTCAATCTCTCTCAAGGCTTACTGTTTGTATTGTTTGCAGAAAATGCAATCTTGGGTTTTGTTGAAAAACTCCATTTCAATCTTATCGACAAGTAATCTGAGGAACTGAGACAGCTGTGTACTGCCATCAACCTCTATACACAAAGCCTTCAAACCAGGAAGCTTGTCCTTTGGGAAGATCAGAAAGTATGCAGTCAATTTTTATTTAAACTTTTATGCTTTAGTGTAACTGCAGTGTGTCAAGACAAAGTCTGATAAACTCATTCACCCATCCTCTGGTTTCTTTGTGAGCTTTCTTTTTATTTCCTTCTCTCCATTGTTCAAGATGAATGAAGGGAGACACAGAAGCAGAGGAAAAAAAAACCCAACAACATTAACTAATGAGATGTTGGGGCAACAAAGAAAGCAGTGGATCAGGGCACCATCCATTATGTGGATATGAGTGGATACAGAACTGTTATGTGGGAAGATTCATGTGGTTTTAAATTCATATGTTTATCACAGTAGATCACCGTGTACACAAGTCTCCACTCCATCAGGTGAGTACAAAATCAGCAAGTAGAATGGACACATGCTTCCAGCTGTTCTTGCTTTATGGTCTAATTACAATAAAATTTAGGAATGCAGCACTTTAAATATGCAGAGAAGTTACTGACAATTGAGGTTTGCACTGAAAATAGGTCAGTATGCCTCATTTCTAATTTAAGGGTACAATTTTGTCACCACAACTAATATGGGATGAAAGAAATTTGTACATCTACGTTTCTGATACTGTAATTTCTCTCTTCTTTGAGAAAACTTAGGACTTTTTATGCATGTATTTGACAATTTTTACACAAGTAGAAGAGTAAGATCATCTACTCACTAAGACTGTGTTCCATGTTTCACGTCTACAAGTTGCCAAAACATTCCATAGGTTTCTACTGTGTTAAGATGCCTTATCTCCAAAACATTATTCAGGTATCTTTGATTGCTGACATTCCTTAAAAATAACTTTCAGAAATTTGCCTGATGTCTGCAGCAGACGAATAGCTGCAAGATGCTCCACTCACATAGCTCAAGATGTCAAAAACCTTTCTGTATGTTGTGTTACATGAGTCAAGTGCAGGTTTAAAGACTTCTCTGAAATCACATATTCACTATTCTGCAATCACACATGAATACCTATTCCTTATGCTAACATTCTTACTTACTTGGTTTTTACTTGAACTAACCCTTAACATTTTTATGTTAAGATAGCCTTTAAGATTTTTCCCTTAATAAAATTCATCTGGAGTCACAATTTTTAGCCTGTATTCCTAGACAGTCATGCAGAAATGTTGTGATGCTACTTACAGTGAGTTGAAGGGGATAGTTCAGGTTTGCAATAGCTGCAAATCAAATATGAGCAACATAATCTCCATTTTTTTTTGAGCTGGATCTCCTAGTCTACTATATGAATATTTACTTCATTTGACTTAAAAAATCCATCCCATTGCAACTAGCACCTTCTGTACTGCTATTTCTGTGAATTCGTGTTCTCCATTCTTTAAGAAACTTAAAAGATAAGTGCAAGCACCACGCAAAAAATCCTTACTTATTTGCCAGAAGAGGGAGCCTTGTTGCCTCAAAAAGCAAAGCTGGGGTTTTTTGCTTCTTCATTTCTGCAACATTTTTTTTTTTGTGAGGCGTTTTATCCGAGATTATTAGGAACATGTATCTTTGCATATGTGGGACTGTAAAATACAGCACATTCAAATACATAGGCGAATACAGAGAAGGATTAATGACTGATAATTTGTTTAACTTGTGAAACAGCTTAATGTCTATTGCAAAAAAAAGTCCTTTTCCCCTGGAGCACTGGCCTGCTTTAAATGTGCAAGAGAAATTAGGAGCTTTAGAACATCGACTGATGGAGGAATCTGCCTCTTTCACTCTCTCTGGCTAGATACCAGCTGATGCTCCACAACATATGGTTAACATGCCTTGTCACAGCAATAAATGTGAAAGCTGGATTACAGAATTGAAAAGAATGGGGAATTATCTTAAAAGGAGTCTACAAATGATGGATGGCTCTACATAGTTTGTGCTCTACCTCTTGCCAAAAAAAAAGAAAAAGCAAAAAAAAAAAGACAATTGTCTGTAGATGTAACAAGAAGTTATCTCACTCTTAGATGGAGATAAATAAATGCTTCTCCAAAGTTTTATTTAGATTGTGAAGAAACTTTTGCATAAAGTTCTCTTATGAGAGAACTTCCTGGGAACAGGTAGAATAACCATCAAGCATAAACAGAAGAAATTCACAGGACAACTGTAGAAGTCACAGCTGTAAGTGGCACTAAAAAAGAAAAAAAATCTTCCTCAGGAGGCAATTTTGAGACTTGAGAGTACAGACTTACTGGTCAAATGTTGACTTCTTAGTATTCTGAAGTCAGCTTTACAGAAAGAAAACCCTACTGATCAAGATCTGGACACTAGAATCAAAAGTAACGAACGCACAGAATATAATATAATATATACAGGTGCTTGTACAATACCTCAGGGATATCCATCATTCTCCTTAGTTTCTGATCTCTCCAGTTCCAATCCAAAATCATATATTTTGTGGAGTTCAGGCACAGGCCATCTAAAAACACAACATAATTTTTACTGCCAAGATAATATGACACATGCTTATCAAAATGATTTTTGGCTTTTACAACTTTTGCTCTCTGTTTCCAAGGAAACTAATCTTTGAACACTTAAGTACTACATTTGCTGGTTGAAAACCAATGTACTGACACTGCAAACTCCCTTAACCATATAATCCCACGCCTTTTTGGAAGATAAACACAAAAGCAGAACAACTACTGTTGCCAGCCTTGTCAAGAGCTAACATCCTGCCAGAAAATAATTCCTCAAACTTCCTCTTGATGAAACCGCAGGAGTTGAATTTCCACAGTTGATGAGGAGCTGGTAAGTTACAAGGATCCTAGCCTGAAAACTCCTGTTAATGGGAACTGACAGTGTTCAGCAATTTACAGGACTGGGTGTTATGTGAACGTGTGTCAGGTTAGTAGTGCTGCTGAGGAATTCCTTTATCCTACAAACAAATGGTGGTGAAAGAAGAAAAAGGTGCTTTCTGAACTGCCCTCCAGCTGTTCCTTTATTTTTCCTTGGTCTTTTACAGGATGCTCACAACTTTTTGTATCATTTTTACTCCTCTTCACTCTCTAGTGACCTGGCACTGCAACACTGAGGTGTCAAAAAGGGAGTAAATCTTAGGATGGTACATACACCTTGTGTCCCTGCCATAAGCTGCCTCCATGGTAATGTGCTGACACGCTGAGCAGTAATGATGTAATGTTGGTGGAGGGCACAAGAAGAAACAAAATTATGCTACTCCTGAACCCTTTTGGAAGGAGCAGTAGGGTTCCAATGCACAGCCAGTCCCTAATCAAGAAACCACAGTTAGAGCAAAGCAGCATTTAGAAGGAGGAATGGAAAGCATCACCTTATCATATTGTCACCTTGTTGTTTGTTCTTCTTTGTGTACATGTCTGTTCAGTAAGTAAAAGTTCTCAAAAATTGGGAAAAGGATTTATATAGAATAATTAATTTCATTACAGGCAAATCAGAAATAAAATCAAATCAGTTAAGCAGATCTTTTGTCCACCCCTCACAAAAGTTTACACTGAGCTCAGAGTGACATACGATACAATAACTTCTGCCATTATTTCCTTTTGATTTACTTGCAGTGTTTGGTTTCCTGGAGCTTTAAATCTTACACCATGGTTTTGCAATCACTTGCAAATTAGCATAAATCAGTATTCCTGCCAAATGAGGAAGTCCCCCACCTCTGCCTGCTCAATACCTGATTTTGTGGGTGCATGCTGCTTTTGTTTTCATTGGGAGGCAGTTCACTGAGCTGCCAAACAGATTCTTGGACTAGCGCAAGAAGTGAGAAGGGGGAATAAGTGGGCACTGACTGGGGTGGAGGGCAGGGAGTATTACTTTGCCTTTCTCTGGTGCTACTGATTTATGCCAGCTTAAAGTGATAATAAAATCAACTACTATAATCTTGACCTCATTTTGACTGACATCGTAGAAGTGGAGAAACAGAACTGTACAGCTTAGTACCCAAATCCACAGATCCACGTCAACCTAAGTGCTTCCAAAACGACTGAAGTCTCACTTCTCATGAGATATAGATATAAGATACTTGTGGAGAAACCCCTCCTTGTTATCCTACCTTGCTCCACTAGCGCTTTTACTCTCCCAGGAGTTCCAACCCCAATATGGAACACGCCTTTCTCCAACATATTCATCTGTTCTTTTATCTAATGTGAAGAGAGAAAGCAGTAAAGCCACTTAAAATTTCTTCTCGAAGAGCTGGAAATAAAGATTTCATAGTATCTCTTTCTAGAATACCATCAAGTAACAAATGCTATATATCATTTAAACTGTCAAATGGATATATCTGGGAGAAAGTTTAAGAAACATAACCGCCAGCTGGGCGTCACACTTTTCTAGTTTAGTCATTTTCAACTTTGGAAATCTTCTATTGCACCAACTATTTTTGGAGGTGAGAATAGTATGCTTCCTTCAGCATTTAAATAAATTCTCTGCAAATATCTGGAACACTGACAAAGTTGAACTAGCTCTAAACTCCTTCAAGATGAAGACACTGGGAAAAGGTGAAATAAAGCAAGTGACATTTCTGAGTTTGTCGGCATTTATATCAAAGGCCAAATGTCCACTCATTACTTCGAACATCCCCATAATCTGTGCTCTCCAACAGGTCTGAATATTAGGTATCCAGGCATCCAGTTGGCAGAACACAAATGGGGGTGTTGGTACAGTTTGCTTCTATGAATCTATGTGCATGAGCCTTCTCTTTAAACAGGCAGACCCTATTTGAATAAGCACCTCACAGGAATGTAGAACATCTCTAAAACATAGCACATGCATAAACATCTACATTCTGCATAGGCTTGCACTGGAGCTACGGGAGATGGTGTTTGGCTAGATTCCTCAAATTGCAGCCATGGGTTACCAAAAGAAGCATTACGTGAAGAAAGGCACATTATATGAAAGGCACTCTTGCTAAATGCTTTAAAAAGAAAAAGGTACGATACTAGTTAGTTTAGTTGTTCCACTAAAATTCCCTTGCAGCATTCTTACCTTTATGTGCTTTGCAAACAACTTGAGAACTCTGCAGTCTCCTTTAAATGCTGTCATTGACCTAGCAGTAAAAAAAAAAAAAATACTGAAAAAGGAAATGCAAGCATCAGGGCTGGGACTTAGACCACACAGAAGGAAAGCAAAATGAACTGGCATTTCTCAATATGCTTGAGACACACAGTCCCCCAGTGACCCCCACTTGTACTTTGAACACTATGTACATTCTTGTTTGCTACTTGATCAAAACCAATCAACAATTGGACAAACACAATAGAAGGTATCAGCAGGGGGCAATATTGTTTAGAAAGCTCTTTGGGTAATATTTAACATTTATGGCCTGTACTTTCACAGCTAACTTAGTTCAAAACTGACTAATCACCGAAGTCTAGTTCAAAAATATCTCAGTTACTGAGATACAGGCATGAATGAACACACATGTGTGTGCACAAAATGAAAGACCTGTGTAAACATCAGTCTACATTTTACAGAGTCTTCCTGCAGTGTGGGTACTGGGAAAACCTAGGCTGCCAGTCTTTACTGAGGAGATGATTGCCTAAATCCCAGTTAACCAAAATTTATTTGCTGGAAAATCTGACTTGTTTTTCTGACACTCCATTTTGTAACAACTCTATGTTCTGTATTAATCAAGCAGAAGACAGCATATTCAGAATTTATCAAATGTCACTTAAGACGGCTTTCTACATGTTTTTTAAAGTGCACCAAATTGCAATCTTCTCTTGTGCAAAGCTAAAGGTTTTTATACAAGTATACATATAAAACACCTACATAGTGGCTAGGCACTCCTGGCACACCTGTCTTATCTATACTTTTCTATCTGGGCCAATTGCCCAACACTCCGCCTCACGTTATACTGACAGATAATCACAGGAAACGGGGTCAGCACACAAAAGGCAACCGTGAAATTTGTGAGGTACACAGTAACTCATCAAAGTCATCCAGACTTCTGGAATGAGAAGGGGGAGGAGTGAGAGGTGAAAAAAAAAAAGGATACTGAAAATCATCTTCTTTGCACAGTGGTTTTGCCAACCTGAGCCGGCTGAGAACACAGACACAGACGTGGAGGCACTCAGGCCAGACGCACGCGTTGGCACTTGAGGGCCTGGAACACGACATCCTCATTGCCTTTGGTGCAAAGTCATGATTTCCAGTGGCTGGATCGTAATGCTTTATGGGTTTGCTCTGTTCCAAAGTATAACATGTTGAATGTTTCCCCCAAATCAGTTACACTTTATTTTTGGTTTTTAACAAAAATAGCACTTCCATGCAATTGAAGTACCGTTACTTCAGTCTAAAACCAAAGACCACACTCTCGCAGTTCAAAGAAGCAAGGGATATTGCGTCAGTTGGAGTCAGTGAACTTGTTGGCTAGCAGAGGAGAGTGTCCCAGTTTTGCCTTTATATCTGTGGTTCCAAGACAAAAGCTCTGACTGCCTGCCAACCTCAACATAACATTTGCTATCGACATACTTGATGAGTTCCAAGGAGCGAAGGGCAGAACTGCAGATAACCAGCATCACCACTGACTTCTTCTCCTTGTGGTTTTTACGGAGTTTTGCCCACTTAGGACAGACTGCAATGAAAAAGCCCGTGTAAACACACAGAGAAAGTACTACATGCCACAATTTTAAATTAAAAGAGTACATGATGAATGGTAGCCAGCAGCAAGAACACACATGCTGACTCCTTTGAGGTCTGGATCTCTGGCAACACTTTTACATTTAGTCATGGCTGAGAAATTGGAAAATAAAATGCCCAAAATAAGTAAAATACAGAAATATCGCACAACTGAACAAATCAGATCAGCAATGAAAATCAACAGTTTGCAAAGTGACAAGCCCATTGCCTTCAATTGCCACATAGGGCAACCTGTATCAGAGAAAACAAATTGAAAAGAAATATTTACCAGATCAGAACTTCTATATAAATATAGCAGAGAATAAAAATTCTCTTGACTCGTGTCAGCAGACAGCTGCAGGATTTTTAGTGTAAGATAATACATACACACACTTATGAAGACACAATAAATTACTGGCAAATAATCCCTAGCAATTAAAAGAAACCCTAGAACATTTTGATACAAAAGAAAAAGTGATAAAGAGCAGCCTGAAAAACAAGATCTGACAAGAAAAAATTAAACTCCCCTAAAGTTATTGATAAGTAATAATTAAAAATATTTGGAAGTACAGATAAAAACTGCAATACTGCATTAATGAGGTTTTTTTTCATACAACTTGTATCTCATCCAGATCAACATTTCAACTCACTTTCCTTCAGGTATGAAGAAAAACTGTGGGTGAGATCATTGGCTGGCAAAAAACAGGAATCTGAAAGCATAAGGGAAAAAATGTTTTTGTTCAGATATTTTAGCAGCAAAAGAAGCATGTATGTTTGCAGCATAACCACTAGTTATATTGATGAAATCACAACTGTGTTAAAAAATATTATCAATAAATTACCATTTGTGAAATAAATATTAATGTATACCTCATGTACAAGAAGTTTTATACAGGGTAGATCAATAAAGGTAACATCTCTTAACTGCAGTTCCCTTCTTTTCTCCCACTATGTTACCCCAAAACATAAGGCTGCACAGGTCTAAGTTCTTTAAAAGGTGATTAAAATCAGATTGTCTGAAAATTTGCCATCATTGCTAGGGGTCCTTTGCCTGATGGAACAGTATGCTCCCACAGAGCATTAAGAATTCTTTTTTCAGGGACCCACGTATTTGTTGTCATTCTGCACGAAGCATGTCATTCTGCACCTCAGGGTGCCTGCCTATGGATGATTTGCTGATAATATTTTAACTAAACTAAAGAGGTTTCTTTACAGATATTATTTCATTAGTTCACAGAGATAGTGCACTGTGCTACCGCTGGAAGCATCAATCCATGACTTCCACTGGAATAGACAGCGTGACAAACTTGGTTTGTAGCTGATGCCTGGCTGAGGTCCTGCCTATGTACCTTCTTGAGCATAGCCACTCTCCATCGCTTTATTTCCTATTTAGTAGGTGATGTCTTGCTAAAAACTTTTATTATGCACTGATCTCTTTTATTAAATCCAGACAGTGACATTTACTGGGACTTGAGCTGCAATGGGAATGAATGTGTACACCTGAAGCATCAGTGGTTGATTTACTTTTAAAATTATGTTTAAAAGATGCACTTGACAAACGTGAGGAAGGGCTGGGGCTGTCCTTCCATATGCATTTGGTCTAAGTGGAGAGCTCTTTAAACCCACCACAGTCTTTTCCTTCCAGTGGCAAAATATCTTTGCTGTTGTTTTCCTCTTTCGAATACATTAAGTCATTAAGTTTCACTAATGACAGAACAATTCAAAAGATGGTCGCTAAAGGACACGAGCTTCAGTCACTGGCTTTTCACCAACAGCTCAGCAACACTGGAGTATTAACAACAGTTTTGAATGAAAGTTTCAGAAAGGGGGGAAGAAACACATAGCTCCAGACTGCAGCAAGAGACCATTCTCACTACAAACCTGACCTTCTGCACCATGTCAGTTAACAAGAACACACAGCTCCAAGTACTTGCTTGTTATTTGCTCAGTGCTTTGACGTGAATGACTTGACAGCTGTAGAAGTTTGTAAACTCCTTGGCACTCTAAGCCTTCCACTCTCAGCACAAAAAGAAAAAAATATCTCCATCCAACCCAAGAACCAATCCATAAGGAAATAAGTCACTTCACTAGCTCTTTCAGTAAGAAAGCAACTAAAACAGTTTATTATTTGCTAAAAACCCTAAACATCTAAAAATACTTAACACTAGCTTTTCAAAGCAATCTGTATAGGACTTATCCAAGTATTATTGATTCAACAAGCTGAACCTGCCCCACAGAAATAAAGAAGGGTCTGCCCAGAATCATGGATGTTAAGACGGAGCAAATTTACTGGAAAGACAGGCTTAAACATTAAAAGAGAGAAAACCACTGCTGCGCTAGAAGGTTCCTATGCTGGACACAGGTCACTAAGAATTCAAGATACATCAAAGGCATATGCAGGTTAGTTACCAGGCTGTTTGCTCTTCATGAGCGCTACCAACAAATCATGCGCAGTGCCTGTAACATGGCAGTGCCTCTTTATCTGTGATGTAAGAAGCAGAGAATTTCAACATTGCTTTCACCTCTAGTGCAGCAACTTCCAGTTGACAGAAGCTAATCCTCCTCTGCCCTGCTTTGCCTTTTAACTGGAGACAGAGTACAGGAAACTAAGAGGGTCCCCATTATGGTTAAAACATATTCACTTGACACTCGGACCAAACCTGTCATCCCATTTCATGCCACTCCTGGAAAAAAAATTGTGTTCAACATCTCATAACCACACCAGCACGATGTCTCCTTATTTCTTTTGTCTATTCCTGTCAGCTCTCCTATTATGCATCTGGATCGACTCAGACAATGCCAGAAACAAAATACATTTTCACTCTCTTGGCATCTTGGAAGCTATTATTAGGAATCACAAAAGTTCTATTAGGAAAGTCATCTCCTGAAATTAATACTTTATAGTAAAAGGACACATTTAAACAATGTTTCTTTTCATTTCTATAACTCCAAAGAACCTCACAACTACTACAAAGGAAGTAGTATCTCTGCTTCAACAGAAAACTGATATATGGCATAACAGTAAAAAAGTACAACTCAAGGCCTCTTTCTTCTGCAGAAAAAGAACTCAATGGTATAATGAAAAAACCCACATTATTTATCCTTTAAACATAGGATAAGTTACCTGACAACTTTAATTCCTCTATTTCAATCACTGAACGGTTTTCCCCAAAATGTTGACTAAGCAGATTTTGCAGGTCTGCAGGGACACCAGGTTTTGGAGCAGATTTTTCCAGAATATCAGAAATTTTCTTCTAAAAAGAATAAGTAAAATGGGTAAGTATGGCATTTCTAACAACACTGCAAATAAATGCTCCTCCATAACTTTATACAGTTACGTTGGCTTAATTACAGCTTAACTAGAAAAACAATAGGACAAGAGTCCCTTTGTTTTTAGTGGGCATACAGACTTCAGACACAAATTCAAATGCTTGCATGTTTGTGAGCCTGAAGACAAAAAAATCTTAATGCACTCACCTGAAATGCTGCCATAACAAAAACATACCTGAAAGCTTGTTTTGTGAGTTTTGATACATTACACTTAAGTATCAGATTGAAAATTAATTTCCTTCATGACTAGTTTTAATTTCTTATTTCTTATAGCATACCAACAGGTCTTGGGTTACATTTTGATTAAAACAGGGTAACTATTTTGGAAGGAAAGATGGTTTTCTATATTCACAGAATACCATACAAGTGTGACGAAAATTATCTAAAAGCTCACAAAACCAGAAGCTAAGCACGAAGAGTTCAGCAGCTGCTTTGTTGTTCCAAAATGTGTAATTTCTTAAATCAAATTAATAATTTTTAGAGCCTGGACATGAATTCCTAGTGATAAGTGTTTCACACCTTAGGAATGTCAGCAAACAACAGATCTGAATTTTTACTGAAGTGAAGGCGTTGCTGTACTTTTCCCCATAATTCAATGCAACATGGGTTCCCATTATCTGCGTGATATGCCAGCATTTAAGAAAACAGCAGATTTGCAAGGACAGAGGCAGCCTGGAGAGAACAACAAGAATGTGAAGCCTCTCTCTTTCTCACTGAGAAGTGATTCATTTGTGAAAGGCCAGCTGAAGATTTCTCAGCTGTGTAAGCTAAACTGAACCGGCCATCGTGAGGACATATAACAGCATAAGCCTAGAATTGAAAAGGAGCAGGAGAGTGTGGTTAGGACAGAGCAATAAGTTACATATCTGTGAGGAAAAGTGAGATTTAACAGAGAGATGAGGTGGACCTGGAAGCCTTTTTGCCAGCTTTGGAGGGGTGACGAGTACCTTCAGCGCAGATTTGGCAAGCAAAGGTCTGGGGCAGTGAAAGTCAATGGAAATTTTGAAGAGAGCTATAGCAGAAATTGTAATGTAGGGGAAAGATCCTCTTCCATCCTTCTTTCACTCACTCCATCCCACTCCCTCCTTCTCTTCCACTCTCACCACTTAGTCTCTCCCTCTTGCTCAATGCACCTCAAATACTCCCATAACAGCAGCAAAGTAGGCACCTCTGATTTAGCAGGCAGCAAGACAGAACTAACAGGCTCGTTTTACTTGGTAATTCAGTGTAAGGTGCTGTTTCACAGGACCGTTATATCACTTGTTGGACCACTTGGTTCCTTCAGGAAAATTTCTGGGACACTAGAGGGGAGAACCCTGATACCAACGAGAATCAATGTAAGATCAAGAGCAAGGACACCTGAGCAAATGCTCTTTCTTTAAGAAAACTGTGGGGAAATGGTCTCATGCAGGAAGTTTTAGTATTTTTCTTGATTCATTCTAGATGCATAAAAGCAAAGGCTCCCCCCTCCCCTTTTCCTTATTTTCAGAGAGACCTATTGTTTGGAACCCATAGATCAATACAATAAATATTTCCTGATGGATTTTTTGACAGGCTATGTACATCAACTTCATGGCCTAGCCCCACTGAAACCAAAGGTGTAAGCAAGTTCCCATTGTTTGCCTGTGAACGGGGTCATCTTCTTAAGTCTGGTTCACCGATCTCTGTCGCGGGATGCTTTCACTCTGGCAGCAGTGGAACAAATACCATGGTCACTTCTGCCAGAGCGGCATTTAAAGCAAAATCCTGCTCTTCCCTCTCCCCATTCCCTGGATGACTAAGAGGACTGACATAATATAAAAAGGCCACCTCTCAGCCTTGTGTGGGAGCCAACTATTTACAGTTAGTCCCGAAAGACAGTTAACTTGGCTGGTGCCATACAATTTTCATCTAGGCTGCAGAGTGTGTCTGTTGTGGAGGGTGAGGATGGAGCATGGCCAGAGGGACAATACAGAGTATTTATTTATATACTTATATACGACGAGGAGAAGAGCAAACAAAGACAGTTCTTGGCTCAAAAGATGTAACAGCAACCGCAGCCTGAGGACACTGCTGAAATGGGGCCTATTTTGCAGCAACTGAAATTCCACCTTTCTTTGATGCAGGTACATTTTCCAAGTGTGTAACACTTGCAAATGAGGTGTAGACACACATAACATCTGAGCAAAACACAGACACAAAGGCACAGCTCAGGCTGGGAATGAGTATTTTGACTGATGTGAAAACGGCAAGAATTTCTATTCTTCTCTAAAAGATGCTGCAACATGATGACCATATGACTTATCGTTACAGGGTAGTCCCAATTCTGAATCTTGTAATAGCACATACACCTACTGCCCAATCCTCAAATACATTCCAGGACATTCATACCTTCTTTCTCCTCTTTGCCTTTACAGTGCTCTCTTGTTTTTCTTCAGGTTGACTTAGAAAACATTCTGTAGGCTGTAAAGTACATATTAAAACAAACAAAAAAAAGGTAAGAAAGGATTTAACATCAAATATCTGATCATCTAGGGAAAAATATCATCAAAGGGAAGTAAGAGGGGATAAAGTAAGTATAATGCTGGATTAGGGAAAACCAAACAAAATCAAGCTTCCCCACCTGTGGAAAAGATCAAATTCTCACAGTTACATATGTCTGGAGTAATTTTAGAACTGAGATCTATGTTGTTGCAACCAAGATGGGAATAAAAGAACAGAAAGTTGAAAAATACAGGCTGCAGTCACAATTCCATAAAATGATGAAAAGTGGGCTTTAATACACCAGAAAAAAATCAAGAGGAAAACATGAACAAAACCTTTCACAAACTTTATATTTTTAATCTCTATTATTGTGTGTGATTGTTTTTCTAAACTTTGCCAACAGTGCTCTAAAATAGCTAGGTCTAAGGTGAGCATCCAGACAGTGAAAGATACCATGGAACTGGGCAAGCATAATTGGAAACAATCACGCTCTGGATTTCCTTTTACATTCGTAATGGAAAATTTAGGAAAACATGTTTCAAATTTGTTCTACCTCATTCTTGCTTTGTCTCCTCATAGCAGGCGAGGTCAAATACACACAAGAAAAATACATAGTGCATTTCAGAATAATCTTCATCCAACATGTGTTGCTATCATTAACCCTCTTTTGTGCCTGAGTGAGCAGGCTGAATTGGTCCATTTGTACCAGAGTCACTATTCACAGCATTAGGATTTGTTCTTAGCCATGTAAAATTGTCCAAAACAGAGGAAATGAGGCACAGACTTTGCTTGTTTTGAGTATAGCAAGTCTCCTTTCTTTTGCCTTCTTAGGGACTTCCACTTCATGGAAATGCAAATTAATCTACATAGAAGGGCTTTAGAGCTTAATAAGAGACTTGGTGAAGAGCAATGGGAAAATAGCCTGAGCTGGAGGAAAAGGCTCCTTGATACTTGGGTGCATTTGGTTGGAAAAAATCTGCTCCTGTGAGAAACTGGGGAGAAGTCTCATCACATAGAGCATTAAAGGCTCAAGAACAGCAAATCCAGCACTGCTCCCTGGGGAAAGTCTGGAAAAAAACGTATCAGCAGGAAAGAGACCCCAGATGAAAACCAGAGAAGCTGCCTGTTCCCCTGTGAATGCAGCTTTAACAAGGCCAAGGGGGCCAAAGGAAAATTAACAGAACTTGTTGAGATTTTCTGAGCCCTCCTTGCATTGCTCTCCTTGCCCCCTTAACAGAGGACACTTCATGAGAGCTGATACTGTATCACGGAATCACAGAATCATTAAGCTTGGAAAAGACCTCTAAGATCATCAAGTACAACCGTCAACCCAACACTACCATGATCACTATGACCCTACCCAGCACATTTTTGCCTTTCCAAGCCTACTATCATATCCTTATCAGAAGCAGGAGTTTAATTGTTCACATTATGCCTATGTTTCCCTTTTTCTCCTCACTTCCCTGGTTAATTCAGCTATAAAAAACAGGATAACACCATGCTCAACACCAACAAACGACCTACTGATCCTTCTTTCCATGCAGCCACGTGCAACCACAGACATTGCACTTGCAAAGGCAGTCGTACTGCACAGAAGTGGCCCCGAAACTGAGGTTTGAAATGACACTTAGGAACTACCAGAAAAGACTTGGCTGGGAACTAGCTACAGGCAGCAAAGCACTGTTCAGCTAGGGCTGGGATATAACACAGCCTGGATCGATACTCACCCATGAGAAGTTGTGACAGGGACCGTATCATGCTTCAACAAGAGAGAATTGGCTCTGTGATTTTCTCAGGTATAAACAGATACTATCTCCACTAGTAAATCAAGCGAATAACTGCAAGTAGAAACTCACTTTGAGTAACAAAGGTGTTCCAGGGTTAACATAATCCTTTTCTTTTTACTTTTGGTTTGCTTCTTTTTTTAAAAAAAGTCTCTGATTCAAGTGCTTTTAAAACACTGGCATATCTCTCCTCATTCCTTCATCTACCACTAGCATTCCCAGACACTGAGACTGAAAGAGAGCTGTCCTCTGCCTTCAGTTCCTGCTCTACCCATACGCATCCCAGCTGTCCATAGCTGCTTGAAGACCACTTGTCAGGTGTTTCAAACATAAATTCCATGTTCAACATCATATCTTATGCAGAGAACAAGCCTTTGAATTGATCTAGTTAAAGGGACATTACTAAGCAATCAAAAAGCCAAAAATGGGCCACCCTGAATCTCCCTCCTCCAGCAGAATATGATGGTTCCCTAATCAAGAAAGTGCTACTGCTCTTAACAGATCAAAAAATGCCACTCATTAACTGTGGGTCCATTTCTACCATTATATGTATTTCCAACCATTTTACATAAATCTGCAAAACACGCACAATTAGTATTCATGAGAAAGGAATAAAACCATGCCACAGAGCAGAAAAAAGAATTCTCTTAGAGAAACAAAATTTCCTCGCTGATAATCCTTCATTCAGATATTTAAAAGTATCAGCAAATGCCATGGCTTCTTTTCTGAAGGCAGCATACAATCCTTTTTTCAGCAGCAACAGAAGGACACAGCAGGCTTGGAGTCAAAGCCTTGCTTCCTCAGAAAAGCATGTTAAGCGTCAAAATTATCTCATTTAAAAGATCACACATATATATACATATGTATTTAGGCATAGTATACTACTAGTCGAGCAATAATAAGTGCACTTTACTCAGACATTAAAAATAACGTCATAAGAAAAAGAGAAACTTAATGGCAGTGAACAGCTGTAAACTTACACATCTTTGATGATCTGCAGTCTAAAATATTTAGGCAGCTGATCTATACTGAGCCCCTGACCCTTATCCAAATGTTAGTTGCCTACCTACTCATGCAATAGCTCTTTGCATGCCACCCTTAAGGAAAGGTCATTTGAATGTTTTTCTTCTGTAAGAGACAGAGCAGACAACCTACTGGTTTTTGACGTGGCTCCCTTGCGCTCTGTGTTTTTAAGCTATTTTTACATGGAAGCTCTTAAAATGCAGAAAACAGGAAATTTATGCTGAGACCACTGATTTATGAACTAAAATGTCATAAATTCCTTGTTTGTTAATCATAGACAGAACATAAAATACTTCCTGTATTATATTTCTAACTTTTTTTTTCTTTACATGTTGCCAACTTACTGGAAATTCAAATGTAAAGTGAAAACATTCTTGCATGTGTGTGAAAGTTTACATTCTAGGTCAGCCATATACTCTGACTTCTGGAGTTTGTGAAAAACTAATCTCTCCAATGCACTATTCAGATTGGAGACAAATTATTCATTTCCTTAGGAGCCTGAGGACAGCAGGCTAGAAATATACATGTTTATAATTCTATTTGGTTGTCTCCTGGCTGGCTTTGAGGTGCTAAGTCCACTGCAGAATAGCTTTCAGCCTGTAAGTAAGGCAGAGATTAGTAAAATGGGTTAAGATATATGCACCAGAACCACAAAACTATTAGCTTTCCATAAATATATCTGATTGTGCAAGTATTCGCTAAGGTGAACAGCAACACATCCATGGCTTTGAGCTCTCATAAAGCATTGCCTCCTGGAGTTTTGTGGCTAAACATCTAATTACCTGATTCTGAAAGGCAGACCGATACTCTTCATGCAACCAGAAGAGCTGTGATGGGTGTTCTGCTAGAACTGAGCAGTCCCAAGCCACCTTGCCAGGATAATCTGTGCCGGTTTTCCTTTCTAATGTTCTCACAGAAAGAGCAAAGCAACTCCTTCAAACAAACTGTCTTAGTTCTAAATGCTTCGGTGAAGATAATGGTGATAAAAAGTAGCTCCATAAGCATCCTCACTGAGTTCAAGTCCTTGGCACCTGACCCTCTAGCAAAGCAGGTACAAAGGCAATACAGCCTTCTCCTGTATTGCTCGGTTCTCTCCTTCCTAATCAAAACTTGGCATCAGTTCAGATATTCAGCTCACCTCACCTTTGGTCTCCTTGGAAAGACATCCAAAAGCATAGTAATCGCTACCACGTTGTTTACGCTCCTCTGTTACAAAAAAAAAGGAACATCCCGGCAAATGGTTTTCACTTGGACAACTGCCTAGACATCACACAATAAATTTACTCTTGACCTAGGGGTCAAAATTAATATCCATAACATCAAGGAGAGATAACTTCCAATGTCATTTTATCTCTTTGACAGCCACTCAGTCAGCTGATTCTCCCGTATACTACTAGGAAGGCAGAAGAAATTTACCTTCAAACAAGAGACTTTTTAAAATCAGCTGACCTCTAAATGACTCTATTTAGCTGATGCTGGGGTGATGCTGCCTTTCAAAGACCTTGCTGCCATTTCCTTGGCATACTCCATGTAACACAGAACACCACAGATGCTACTGGTTTTAAAGGAAGCTTTTAATACTGAAAGATGTAAATACATCAATCCATGCAGACCTAAATTCTTCTTCAGTTGGACCTTGCACTGAAGACATGCTTGGGTAGAGATACTGTACAAAATTTAAATATAGTTTTCAAGAACTTGTGTGTGCAGGGAAAGGGAAAAGTTTATAGGGGAGGACAATGGGTAATACCATCCAGACTTTTATCACTAGAGTCACTTTGTAGGAGACCGGGCTGGCAATCTCAGATCACACAAAACAAGAGTGAAGTTATTATTGAATTGTACTGGAATGAGATCACTTCCCAACCGAGCAAACCAATTTAATAAAATAATCTTATATGAACGACCAAAGAGTGAAGAAAACTATCCCTTTACTGAATTAAAGAGGGCTATGTTTTCCTATGCATTATCATCTCTGTGCTCTACACAACTGCTAAATTTACAAACCTGCTTTCTTTTCTTCGCCACAGCAGGTTTGGAATCTGAATCTTGATGTGTTGTTGTCCTGTTATTACTTGCTTTCCAAACAGCTTCATCATCTGAAGGATCTAATGAGAAAAAAGAAGTGATTTCATTACTATTTTTCCAATCCATCTCCTACCTTTCCATTCAAAAAGGTGATCAAATCTTCAGCTGAAAGGTCGTCACAGTAATACAATCTCAAGATTGGTAGTAAGTACAGCTGTAAGAGAATTTGTTACCATTTTAGAACACTGGTATTTGAAACCTATTCAAAGTCCCAGGTTTCCCCTCCTCTTCACAGTTTTACATCTGCAGGCAATATACTTCTTTCTTTCTGGAATACCAGCTGCAGCATCACAGGTAGAAATATCTTATCTTTCCAAAACCTCTCCTGAATTAAACTAAGCAGTGAACGATGAAAAAAGCTGTTTTTCATAATCTACATGTCAAGTTGCATTGAGATCTCTCCACATTATTTCAGAGAAATAAAACATAATCTTGGATCAATAGCACTGCAATTAATGATATATAATTACAGACCTATTTCATTAGACCCCAAAACAAGCTGAAAACTAGTGGCACTACGGTCCATAGGATCACTGTAAAAATACATCTTTCTTGCTAAGCTTGCTGGCATTTCTTTCAAAATAAGTCACCTCCTACTACTAAAACAAGTCTTGAAGATGAAGAATAAAACCAAATCAAACCAAACACACACAAAAAAGCACAAAACCCTCACCCTAGCTTCCGCTGAAAAGACCCATATGCCTTACTGACACCAACTACCTAGAAGAGGAAAATTTACAAAATTAGTATAACGTCCTATTGTATAAAAATATACACAGACATTTTCTGCAAGTATATTTTAATTGTCTCTTACTTCAGTAATAATTGGGCAAAGGCACCATTCCCAAAGTTTAAACAGAATATCTGCAAGATTAAACTAAGATTATGTTTTGAAAGAAAGCTATTTAAATTAAGATGTTTCTACTCATTCTATTCATCATCTCTTTTATCTATAAAGAGACTTTGGGGAAAATAATATCCACAACAACAGTTTCCTCTAATAGTGCTCTATTGGTGCTTAAGATGTTGTAGTCAAACACAGAATTTTCTGATGGGGACTGAATTACTTTTCTGATCACCATGAGATGCATTATCATCCAGCAAACTGAGTAATTCAGTTTCTGTATTTGGAATATTTCCACCCAACAGGTACTTAGTCATTGGAGCAACCTTCTGTATTCTGAAGTAATAAACTGATGTCTTCAAGGTTATTTATTTTGCATGAAGAGTAACAGTATGATTTCATAAGCATCGCCCCAAGTATAGACAGACAGTATAACTAGATCTATGCAATCACCAGCTGTAAGCAGAGTAAATTGATGGCCAGAGAACATGAGAGAGAAAAAAAATCAACTATGGCTGGTATTTACTAATTCCATGTTGAAACAGGCACCTATTGAAAAAATGTCAGTGAACAGATACGTGAAAGACATGTCAAAGAATTTAATGGAAAGGTAAGTAAAAGCATATGAAGAGGAAAAAGGCATCTTTATTCATCCACATATATATCATACGGCAATAAGGCAGTGTCTTTGAAAATCCTGATGGAACAGAATGGGTAACAAAATGGGTAGATATTTAAGGTTGGAAAGATACTATCTTGTAACTTCCTCTCCTTTTCCCACTTTGGAAAGCTTATGTGACAGTCAGTATGCTGAAGCTGGGTTGTGACAGCTGTTAAGAGCTGAAAAAAGTTTGGGAAGTTGAAAGCTAGTAAGTGAAGAAAATTGGTGAATGTTTTAGCAGGTTGGATGTAATTTGTCAGGAAATCTTATTTGATATAGATTAGATTCTTGGCAAACCGCAAAAACTTTAGAAACAGAGCTGCAACTAAGAAGAGAATTTGTTTTCTGTCCAGTACAGCTAAAATACTCCTAAGTGAAGGGGTTAGATAAACATGTCAATAAATTTAATTCAAACCAAAACACAGGCTAAGGCAGATTCTAAAATCCGAAACAAGACATCCACCTAGCAATTTCCTGCTTTCCAGATCTAATGCAAAGGCACAAATGTGCGTGCCTATTTGCATCCTTCTCTTTGCAGGCACAGCCATTGAATCAGCAGCTCGGCAACCTGTGGCCACACCAGAGCTACATCCCCCGTGGGCTCAGAGGGTCTGGATCAGGAATGGTGCTGTCAGCAGGAGCAGGGAGGCGATCATGCCCCTGTGCTCAGCTTTGGTGAGGCCTCACCTCGAGTGCTGTGTCCAGTTTTGGGCCCCTCACTACAAGAGGGACATTGAGGTGCTGGAGAGGGTACAGAGGTGGGCTACCAAGCTGGTGAAGGATTTGGAACATGTGTCCTAGGAGGAATGGCTGAGGGGTCTGGGGCTGTTTAGCCTGGAGAAGAGGATACTGAGGGGAGATCTTATCGCTCTCTACTACTAGCTGAAAGGAGGTTGTAGGTAGGCGGGGTTGGGTTTGTTCTCCCTAGTGGCAAGTGATAGGACAAGGGCAAATGGTCTTAAGTTGCACCAGGGAAGGTTCAGATTGGATATTAAGGAAGAATTTCTTTATTGAGAGGGTTGTCAGCCACTGGAACAGGCTCCTCAGGGAGGTGGATGGGGCGGCATCCCCGGAGGTGTTTAAGAGATGGGTAGGTGTTGCGTTGAGGGACATGGTTTAGTTGTGTTGACAGGGCAAGGACAAAGGTTGGACTCGATGATCTTGAAGGTCTTTTCCAACCAAAACTCTTCTATGATTCTATGATGAGTAAGGGACATGATGAGTCCAAATTTTAGGCTTACTTGTCCACTAGGAAATAGACGGCACTGATCTCCATGAGCTGCCCTCACAAGCTATTTTCCCCTCTATTCTAACAGACAAACTCAGTTCGATTTACTCTTCTTCTGAGCTGCTATTTGGATTATGAACAAAAAGAATGAGCAACCATCCCAAATACAACTGCCACTTTTGCTACAACATCAATGTTACTGTCCCAAGAATGTTTGTCAGATGTTGCCTGAAGGTGAAAAGACTTCTGGTAAGGTTTATTGGTGCCAAAAGTAAAAAAAAGAGAGAGTACTCCACACTTTTTTCCTTTTTTTAAAAACCATTGTCAATGGTGACATGTGTTTACTTTGTCATAAATTCATTATTAATGCGTAAAAAATATATATCTAGTCTTGTACAGCCTAGCCACGGCAGCTGGTGAACAGGGAAACAGAGAAAGCTGAAAGTTTGTGAGACTAACAAACTTCCTTATATTACAGCTCAAATACCTGTGTCCATCTCCTGGACTCTTCCTTTCTGTTGTGCTGAGGATGTCTGAGTGCTCCTGCACTCTATGCCTGCCCCTCACACCAACTTACTCCTTCCCTGGTCTATTAGGGGACTGGTTAGCTCAGTGGTTTGAGCAGCGGTGCTGACAACAATGACAACACCAAGGTTGCGGGTTCGATTCCTGCTTGGTCCCCACGTGTTGCCTGGTCTAGTTGAGAGGTGGCATCCCTGCCCAAAAACAGGGAGGTGGGACTCGATGACCTCTAAGGTCCTTTCCAGCCTAGGCCATTCTATGATTCTATTTCTCTCCAAAGTCAGTGACTGCTTTTGTCCTCCAAGCCACTCTGGAATCTCAGATATGAAATTTTGTTAAAAGCTGAAAAATTACATCATCCAGGATACTCCTGAAAGTTTAAAAGGTGCCTTGGTAACTCAGTATTACCACGGGCTTGTTTCCCTCTGTAACACCCTTGCTCTGGCAAGTTTCTTGTGCTGCATTTTTGGTAGGGCAGTTTCTGCATTTGAGAACCCATGTCTGACTTTTGCCTCTTCTGCTCTGACTCCAGTGACCAGCTTTTACACAAGCAAGCTTCACACCCTCAGGGTCCTGGATGCACTACAGTCAAGAAGGCTGTGGAGTACACCAAATAAATCAGAGCTAATCACCTCTTTGTCCCCCTTGCTCAGCATGCTTGAGCCTCAAACACCCATTCCAGAATGCATCTGTGCATGCCTCACTGAACTGAATTGCTGAGCCAGCTCTTCCTTAGCATATGTATTTCACATTGGAAGTAAATGAGAATTGCATAAATTAGATTCAGGGGAAGCTGCCTGTGATCTTTAGGTATTCCTTCTCGAATCCTACTTGGCATGCTCTGAAAGGCAAACAGGAGCCATCTAAGTTTTAAATAACCTCTTCTCTTTCTCATAAGTAAAAGACACACTGCTAGCAACAGCAATCTAAAACTGGACAAATGGTTTCCATGACCTGAAATAGTCTGACAAACAATGTACCACCTGTTCGCTGCCCATCTGAATTCTGGACTGCAGTTTTGTGATGCAACGGCCTCCGCTATCAGCAAGAAGTGAGAGAAGAGAGAACCAGTGTCCAGCCCCAGAATAAACAAACTTTCGTGAAAACGGTTTGAATTTGAGCATCTTTCTGCAGTACCTGAGTATCTTTATTTCATACAACAGGAGACATTTCTAACTGTTCTAGCAACAGCCACTCACATTCCAGTTGAGACAGCAGCTAATTTTGAGCTGTGATTGTCTGTGACACCACGTCAGCTCCCGTGGTGACAGAAGTGTTTTGTTGTGGGCATCAAAGTACCACAGGCCAGATTCTGCCAAGCGCGCTCACATTAAACCATGCAACTTCCTTTGCAAACAGTTACCTTGATGTCAGTCGGGTTATTCACAAAATAAATCACAACTTGATGTGAATAAATGCAGGAGCATCCAGCTCACAGATCCCAAACATGTCTGTACCAGAGCAGCACTGCTTGCCCTGCTTTGAGGGGTCAAGTGGCATGGGAGAACAGGGAGAACTGGAAGAACTCCTTCGAGAATAGGAGAGAGCGCAAATCCTTCCCTAATAATAAACTGGCACAAACGCAGAACCTAATTGATTAATACAACGTTGACTTTCATCTCCCTTGCAGCGCAAATGAGCTGGCAGGCAGGAGCTGACAGAATATGCTGCTGAAGGGATGATGTTCAGTGCAGCAATCCTCCGGACCTTACACAACCACAAGGTCATGGAAGATGTATGAACAGTAATGTAACGCTCTCAATAT